ACCTTTCTTACCATATATTATAAACTAGCCTAAAACCGGTTATTTCCGTCGAAATTTTTCCAACGAACTTCGATTTATATCGAAATTTTATTACAATCTAAGATTTATATGGTTAAATACAGAGATATTATGGACAATTAACGATAATTTCAAATCAGTGAAAACATGGTACGACTAAAAAGAGAAGAAAAACGAATCTAAGAAGTGAAGTGGAATTCTTGCACGACTTGTACGTTGGAATTGGCCTTTTGGATTTTCAAGGGACAAGAAGGGAAGAAACCCTAACCATATAAGCTCAACTCAGTTGTCTTTTTTCCCCACCATCTATAACACAATAAACAACTCATAAAAACACATCCAGAATCTCGAGGTAACCCGAGAGAGAGAGAGAGAGAGAGAGAGAGAGAGAGTGAACCTAGACATGCATGAATAAGTCCCAAAACTAAGGCTATGTTAACTTATTCCATTTAGATAATGCTTTTAGATTTGTTGGAACAACATGCGTGTATCTATACATATTTATTTTGTAAAGAAACAATTTTTGCAATAGTAATTAGATATTCACATTTTATATAAAAAACTATACATATTTATTTAAAAAAAACACACAAAAGTACACATCTCATAATACGTGAGATTGTATGAATATCATCAATACATGTGCATTTAAATATACACATGCCGGAACACTGAGTCAGCAATCGTAGGAAATGAGCAAATAGTAAATGAGCTTTTTGTCATATTATAAGAACCTTTTAGTGGTCCCTAGTTCAAGTGCCCCATGGATAAAATCATGTTTCATATATATATATATATATATATATATATATATATATATATAATAAGAGTGAATGAAATATATAAAAGATTAGAATAGATCCCAAAGTCTTCTCTTCTTGGTTGGAGAAGATAAATTTAACGGCATAAAATTGAAAGTGCAGGATTTGGGATAAATTATGAATAGAAAAATTGTCAATTATAATGGAAAATCAATTATACATAAAAAAAAATAAAAACAAGAAAAACGCCCTCGGAAATAATATTAAGCCCATGTATAAGCATGTGATCACGGCCCATTAGATTGTTCTATGAAGCGAATACGGCCCAACATTCCGGGATGGCAGTAGGTCCCACGTGGGATGTGCCCCTCTCTTAATGGGCCTAATTAGTAAGATATAAGATAAGGCCCATAAATATAATGCCTTCACGGCCCAGCCCAACACTTTGAGATGGCAGTAGGTGGGACCCACGGGATTTTAGTGGCCCAAAGATGTAATATTAGACCCATTAAATAATGCGGTTTCGGCCCAATAGGGTTGGACACGTTCTCGTTTTTTTTTGTCTTTATTTATCCAATCTTCGTAACTAAAAAGGATAACGAAGTCAAATTCGAAAATAAATAAAGTAATTAACCTAATTACGGAATTCAAAAACGGCAAAAAAAAAGAGAGAGATTCCAAACGGGCAAATAAGAGAATAAAGTATAAACAATTTTTTTAAAAAAACACACAAAACAACAAAAAAATTGACCGTTGAACGTATGGGTCACAATATTAAAAATTCTCGTGAAAAATCACAATCTTGTTTCCAACGTTAGGTTAGAATCGTATTCCCCTTGAGTTCCACGCTTGTACCTATCTCTTGTTCTTGTACTATACTCTTTACAAAACCAAGAAAAAATCGAGCTTTTAATTAATATAATTTGCAATATTTGTATAAAAATAATCATAGAACAGTGAAAATCTACTATTAAATTAATGAAAATAATCCTCGAAATTATAATAGCTGAGTTGTCGGTGAAATAATACAAATTTAAATTCAAAATGTAGGATCGTGTGTATGTGTAGAAAGGACCCCCCACGTTTTCATGTTGACTTGGGAAATGGCGTACCCGACGTGCGAAGCTCAGCTTTAATTCAAATCTTATTTCGGTAAAAAAAAAATTAAAAAAAAGATTAAGATAATGTTAGGTAGAAATCTGGATTTATCCGTATGAGATTGGATTTTGAATTGTCATTTACTAATTTAGAAATACATTGGGGAACTTGCTAATGCTATTCAGTTTCTCTTTTAAAAATTTCAATTCTAGGATTCTGTTTCTATCTTTTGATCTATTTATAGATCACTTTCCAAATTCAGACAACTATAGAGCTCTCTATAAATTGGAACTCCTTTAAGGGACAATCAAAATCAAATCCCCCAAAGTCTGGATTTTTATTTAAACCAAAAAAAAAAAGGGAGAATTCCAAAGAATATGAGAGGCGTAGGTGTCATTGTATTGCTTGCAATTGGGTTGTTGTGCAGTGGAGCTTTAGCCAAGCAGTCCAAGAACACAAGGCCTGTAATCAACAGGGAAGATTTCCCCAAAGATTTCATCTTTGGTGCTGCAACTGCTGCTTACCAGGTTTTTCCTTTTTCTTTTTCTTTTTTTTCTTCTGGGTTTCTTTTTTTTTTTGGTTATATTAATATTTTCGGTATTTGAATGAATTCGTGTAAATAATTCCTTAAGAAAGAAAAGAAAAAAAACGTGTTGAAATGTGATTCGGTGTTGCAGTGTGAAGGCGCTGCCCATGAAGATGGAAGAGGACCGAGTATTTGGGATACTTTCTCCGAGAAGCATCCGGGTTCGTCTTAATCTTCCATTGCAGAGACTGTCTTTTTTTTTTTTTTTTTGAACTTTCTGAATAGATCGATGGATCTGTTTTATGAAAGAAAAAAAAGAAAGTATTTGCGGTTTCTGATTCGATGGCGTAGAGATCTAGTCAGATCCAAATGTGTGAATCGCTGCTTTGTTCTTGAATAGAGAGGCAGATGAACAAATCTAAGGGGGAAAGCAAAAAAAAAAAAGGACAAAAGGGTTAGGAGTTAGGGTTTTGCTTTGGATTGGTTCTGTCGTAAGCAAATCCCAATCACTTTGACCATGCGTGTGTATGTATGTATGTATGTATGTATGTATGTATGTACTCTGTTTACAGCATTTCTCGTCCTGAGATTCAATTTTTTTCATAACAAAATGTGTTTTTTTATTTAAATTTTTTGTTACAGAAAAGATAAAGGACGGTAGCAACGGGTCAGTTGCAGACAATTCTTACCACCTTTACAAGGTTATTAATCGTCATCTCCTTCACATTACTTTCCCAATTATTTTCTTACACATCATCTCTAATGGATTCTGTAAACTTTGGTTTGCAGGAAGATGTCGCCATTTTGCACAACTTTGGCTTCGGCGCCTACAGATTCTCCATCTCCTGGTCCAGAATTCTGCCCCGTAAGCCTTCAAATAAAATAAAACCCATTCATACTATAATTAATCGGAATCTATAACTGTTTTTTGGAAATTTTGACCAAGGTTAATGGAATTCGTGTTTTTTAATTATTAGGTGGGAATCTAAAGGGAGGAATCAACAAGGCCGGCATCAACTACTACAACAACTTGATCAATGAACTTCTGTCCAAAGGTCAGTCTTTTACTTGGAATTTATTTCAATCCAATGTTTTTTTTTTGTTGCAATTTTTGGCCGTACTTGTAACTTTTAGATTCGCGTAAGAAAATATTGTTTCATGTTAATAGGAATTAAGCCGTTCGTCACAATCTTCCACTGGGACACCCCGCAAGCCCTCGAAGACGCTTACGGCGGTTTCCGTGGATCCCAGATTGTGTAAGTCCTCCAAGCCATGACTGCAATATCCATGAAATTTTGAATGTAGCTAAGTGTGAAACCAGACAAATGGGTTGGTGATGATGATGTGTTTTGTAATGAAACAGGAACGATTTCAAGGACTACGCCGAACTGTTGTTCAAGACATACGGAGACAGAGTGAAGCACTGGATAACGTTGAACGAGCCGCTGACGGTCGTGCAACAAGGTTACGTAACCGGTTCCATGGCGCCTGGAAGGTGCTCCAAGTTCACCAACCCCAACTGCCTCGGTGGGGACGGAGCCACCGAGCCTTATATCGTCGGCCACAACTTCCTCCTCGCCCATGCTGCAGCCGTCAAGGTCTACAGAGAGAAGTACCAGGTCCGTACTCTTTTGTCTACTGTTTTCTGTTAACTTGTGTTGTGTCAGAAGAAACAGGAGTTCGGTCTGGTCTGAAGTGAGGTTCTGACGGCCGGCGATTTGGTTTTGTTCCGACAGGCAACTCAAAAGGGTCAAGTGGGTATCGCCCTGAACGCGGGTTTCAACATTCCTTACACAAATACACATGCCGATAGGCTTGCCGCGGGAAGAGCCATGGCGTTCACGTTGGACTATTTCTTGGAGCCGCTCGTCTCCGGGAAATATCCGGCCGAGATGGTGAGCCACGTCAAGGGCGGTCGCCTACCAACCTTCACCGCTGAACAGTCCAAAATGCTCAAAGGATCGTACGATTTCATCGGTATCAACTACTACTCGTCCACCTACGCCAAAGACGTGCCTTGCACCACCCAAGACGTGACCATGTTCTCCGATCCATGCACCGAAGTCACAGGTCCGATCCATGACACAATCTTGTTGATACATTATATGAGCTTATAATATGAATGTTGTGTTTGTAATACGTTTTATGAAATCGACTGTGGATTTGGTTTTGCATCAGGCGTACGAAATGGAGTGCCGATAGGTAAAAAGGTACATGAACATTCACCCGATTTAAATTGAATAAATGGTTCAACTCCCATTCATAAACCTGAACTTGGTCTTGCGTGGTTGGCTTCCTCACAGGCTGCATCGGACTGGCTTCTGATTTACCCCAAGGGAATTCGTGATCTCCTCCTCTACACTAAGTACAAGTTCAATAACCCGGTCATGTACATTACCGAAAACGGTAATTCATCCTTCACACCTCTTGAATATGCGGCTTTGTTCGGGCGAAATATCCTTTTCTAAAGTTAAATCGTGCAGGAGTCGATGAGTTTAACACTGGTGTAGTCTCCCGAAAAGATAACGATAGGATCGATTTCTACGCTCACCACCTCAAGATGGTCCACGAAGCTATCAAGTAAGTTACGTTTTCACGAAGAAACGTTCGGATAGATAGACAATATATATATATATATCGGATCATTGAGAACGTCGGGTTCTGTATAGGATTGGAGCGAACGTGAAGGGATTTTTCGCATGGTCGTTGCTAGACAACTACGAATGGGCAGCTGGATACACTGTCCGGTTCGGGCTGGTGTACGTCGACTACAAAGACGGTCAGAAGAGGTACCCCAAGAAATCGGCTAAGTGGTTCAGTGACATCCTCAAAGGAAACAAGAAGACAAATCCCCGTGTTCAAGAGTTGAAGAACTGATCTTAATTAAGACAACATACTTCACCGGTTTTTAATAAAAAATGGTCTTCAAAAATCTGCGATTTTAGCTGCAAATCCGTTCGGATTTCGATTCCTATTTGAGAATGTGAAGCTTCTGTGTATAAACTCAATTTCCGGCGATGTGAGGAGTCAAAATACTATGAAACATTCGCACAAGAACAGTTTAATAGGGAAAATGTTTTTCTATTATTGATAATAAGAAAAATACATAATAATATATAGCAAAATACAATAGAATATTCTAGACATAATATCTAGGGTAAATCATAATCTTATCAATGATAATATTCTAATAATAATATCTTTCTATATGCCCCCTCAAGATGAATCATCTATGATTAATTCAATCTTGTTATATAAAAACTGAAAACTGAAGTTCTGATCATATTAAACGAATCATCTTCCATGTGGTGGTGTAGTTCAGACTTGAGTCGGTGTTGCTTGATAACGTTTGAAGAGCTTGATAGTTGTATTCTCAGAGGTTGATGTGGTACGAAAGTGCGACACATATGCGTGAATTGGGTTGCACGACAATGAAGTCGGCAGCGCAAAGAACTGCGGTGTATATAGGGCTAGGCCTGAGAAAAGAAGAAAAAAAAATGGGCGCAAAAGCGCGACGTATAATACGTGATAGTCTAGCAACGGGACAAGAGAAAAAAATAAAAATAAGTGACGCAAATACGTGGATCGACGATCGGAGTTTTCCAATCGAAAGAGGCTAAAAGCCATGTTTAAAGAGCTCACTACGGCTAGGGTTGACATCGATAAACGGACGTCGTCAGAGAAAAAAAGAGAGTAGCACATCGGCTAGGGTTGACGTCGATAAACGAACATCGTCGTTAAAAAAAATAGCACATCGGCTAGGGTTGACGGTGATGAACATCGCCGTCGGGAAAAAAAATAGAAGAAAAAAAAGAGCAAAATAAATTTAAAACGATACTCAAGGCGATGATACTATTGGATTTAGTACATCGTTGTCACCTTCATCGTCGCTTTCGGATTCGACCGACATTGTTGATGAAAAAAAAAATTAGAGCAAAACCGAAGCTCTGATACCATAATAGGAAAAATGTTTTTCTATTATTGATAATAAGAAGAATACATCATAATATATAGCAAAATACAATAGAATATTCTAGGCATAATATATAGGGTAAATTATAATCATATCAATGATAATATTCTAATAATAATATCTTCTATACAGTTTGTCGAGCGGTCCATGCATATTTCAATTGGCTTATAACAAACCAAATCGAACTATATGGTATATAAATATACACAATTTAGATCCGAACTAATAAAGTTCGATTGGATATGATTTCTCTAAATTCAAATTAATCAAACTCGGACCCATTCGAAAATAATCAAATCAACATCCTTTGTGATGATTTGAAGAATATATTTGCAGAGAAATATTCAGATCGATAAGAGAAGTTTTGTAGTTTTTCTGAATTTATGTATAAATCTTATGATATTAGTTTGCAAACTGTATATAGCGAGATTCCATTCGGGAAACATTTTTATTCCATTCCAATTAAGGTTGGCTTCGATTATAAATTTCGATAAATACAATAATCAAGCGCCAACTTGCATCGTTGTGACAACTACATCATCAAATACCGAAACCCACGAAGTCAAAATTAAACAAATTGATTTATTTGACAAATCATGATTTTGGTGATCATGACTAGTTAACCAATCATTTTTGTTTAACATATAAAATATATTATTAATATCACCTAACCCGCTTATGTAAAAGCAACTATAAAAGCAATTAAACACCAACCAATAATGTCGATCCAACTCGCCCGTTTTCCATATCCATTGAAAAAAAAGGTTCAAGCAAAACGTTGCGTAGAGAAATTTAAAACGTTTTTTTATGTGACATGAAGATTATTCAAACGACCTCTATAATCTTCTTGAGCTTCATCTTCTTATCAACGCGTGAGCTTCACCTTCAAGCCTTCGACAATATTCTCGGCCTAACGTCCAAAACCTTGGACCGACGAAGCTTTCCCGATGATTTCATGTTCGGAGCAGCTTCAAGTGCCTATCAGGTTTCGAACCCATACGGATTATTACATTTTAATGCCATCTTAATATACGTAATTTTCATGCAAGATTCATACGTGCGTATATGTATATGTTATGTATAAGATTTTTTCAATTTTCCTTTTTTTTTGCCCATTTCGTTAGAGTGAAGGAGCGGTCGACGTTGATGGAAGAAAACCAAGCATATGGGACACGTTTGCTAGACAACAGCCAGGCTTGTCATTTTTCCATCTCTCTGTTCATAAACTTTGATCCATCGAAATGGACCGACTATCAGAATTATATGTTTCATTAGTATTTACGTGTTATTATTATTGTTACAGAGGAAATCTCCGATGGGAGCAATGGGGACGTGGCAGACGAATTCTACTTCCGCTCCAAGGTACTATTATGTATATACCCTTTTGGCTAAGGTTTTATTTTGGGATTATGCGTTTGGTAATATACGTAAATTCTACGGAAAACACGTAAATTTTGGCTGATACCCATATGAATTTTGGTCGTTTTCTTGCAGGAAGATGTCGCTCTTATGAAAGAAATCGGGATGAACTCTTTCAGGTTTTCAATCTCTTGGCCACGGATTCTGCCTTGTACGGCTCTCTTTTTCACCCAATTTGGCAAAAACTTACCTTCAGTAAACATTTAATTTATTTTTTATCATGTTAATGCGGCGGTAATTTTGTTTTCATGTGATTTCCTTGGTATAGATGGTACGATTGGAGGAGGAGTTAACCGGGCAGGGATTGACTTTTATAATCAACTCATCGATGAATTAATCTCAAACGGTCGGTCCAATAATCTCGTTTTAAGAAAATGAATTAATTAAATCCTATATGAACGTGCATGCCAGACACACTCCCATTATGAACCAAAACTAGAATACAAACATGCATTTAATTAGTATCAAAGTCTCTAATAATGGCGCATTTTGTTGTTATTTTAAAATCAGGTATAAAGCCTATGGCTACTTTGTTTCACTGGGACCTACCTCAGGCACTAGAGGATGAATATGGCGGATTCTTAAGCCGACAAGTCGTGTAAGATATAATTATTCAATCCATACCCTGAAATTCAGTTCACTGCCAAAACGTTTAATGTCAAAAGTGTGACAATTCGAAATCGGTATTTAAATATATATAGGAATGATTATCTTGATTACGTGGATCTATGTTTCAAAGAATTCGGAGATAGAGTGAAATATTGGATCACGGTCAATGAACCAAACATCTTCACAATGTTCGGGTACGGGTACGGTATGACTGCACCGGGACGTTGTTCAAGCTACGTAGGGAACTGCTCGGCCGGGAACTCGGCCACCGAGCCCTACTTAGCGGCTCACCACTTGATCCTCTCCCACGCGGCCGCGGTCCGACGATATAGACAGAACTATCAGGTCACTCGCTTTCCTTAATTAGATGGCGGAGATTTAAGTAACCCTTTCTTATTTATCATCCATTTTTTTTTCCGAAACGTGAAAGCAGAGTTCTCAAGGAGGTATAATTGGGATGACAATACAGACATCTTGGATGATTCCAAAGTACGAAACCGTTGCATGTAGAGAGGCTGCCTCTAGGGCTCTTGACTTCTCATTTGGATGGTAAAACTATAAGTTTAACGTTAATTACATGCCTATTCAAACGTAAATATTAATATCTATATATACATATATATATAGAGAGAGAGAGATGGTTATAATGAAAATGCAATAAATGTTACGTTAATGTAACGTGTAGGTTTGCGAATCCGATAACGTACGGAGAATATCCAGAGGTGATGAGAGAGACAGTGGTGGGAGAGAGGCTACCGAAGTTCACGAGAGAGGAGAGAGAAATGGTCAAAGGATCGTTTGACTTTTTCGGAGTGAATTATTACACGGCAAGGTTCACCGAAGACGCTATGTTCTATGCCAGCGCCAATCTTAGCTCCACCACCGACAGCCACGTCAACGAGACAAGTACCCCTTACCCTCCTCCCTCCTCTTCTTCCCTTTTTTTTCCTTTCAAAAAATAATAATAATAACAATTATCATCACCAACTGCGGACCCATTTCCGTACCAAATACATTGGACATAAAACGTATTATAATTATCAAATATATCATACCTAAGCATCTTATCTTTTGCTGATATTTAGAAGAAAAAAAAATACTATTTATTATTTTGACAAATAATTCTTCTTCTGCTTCCTATATTTGTTTTGATAGCGACGATTTGGGATGACCGATCTCTTTTGGTTTGTTTTATTCGGTTCGGTTCGGTTCTTGCAAATGTCGGGTTGAATTATTTGGTTTAATATGACTACGGTAAAAAAATTTGGGTTTCACCGAATTTTTTCGATTTCTACTATTATGGAATCGATATAAGGATGAATTTAAATATATTTAGATTTTTTTTATAATCTAACGGCAGAGATAACAATACGAAATTATGACTATACATATACACAATATATATTTTATCGTAATCTCCATTTGGAGAGATAAATTCGCGTGAACTTTTCCAATCATCTAAGATATATAGTTAGATTGAAAGTACGATAAACTTTCGAATTATAAAAAAACTTTCGTGATTGAATGTGTTTTTCTTACGCAAGTTATCATTTTTTTGTGTGTTCTAAGTACAGCGGAGAAGAATGGAATACCTATCGGTGAACCGGTATTTTTTTTTTCTTTTTCTTTATTGCAACTTATGGTCGCATTTAAAAAAAAATAAAAGTTGAACTCGTAAACATAATGTCGGGACTAAGACAAAACTGCATTTTGATGTGAATTTAAATAAACCAGACGGGTGCATCTTGGCTCTACATTTATCCAAAGGGGTTTCAAGATCTTCTACTGTACGTGAAATACAAATACAATAATCCAGTAATATACGTCACGGAAAACGGTATGATCATTAATTTTTCATTTTATTTATCTGTTTTCTTGTGGTTTCAATGATAATAATGTGGCACCAACCAGCGTCGAATGATTTTTGTTTGTTGGATTAATAAAATTAAGGCATGGCATATGAAACCGACAAGTCGCTGCCCGTCACCGAAGCCCTCAACGATGAACTAAGGATAAAGTATCACCATCTCCATCTCTCTGCTCTCTTGAACGCCATCCGGTATAAGTCTTAATTCTTAAAACAACATCGTTAATTAATTCTCTAAATAGAAAGCATATATTATTCCATTTATGCTGATAATTGAAACAATATATATGTACATATATCGACAGGAAAGGAGCCGACGTGAGAGGATATTACGTATGGTCGTTTATGGATGATTACGAGTGGGAATTTGGTTACACGAATCGCTACGGATTGATCTACGTGGATTTTCAAGATAACCTTAAGCGATACCTCAAACGCTCTGCTCTATGGTATAAAGGTTTCCTATCAATGGAGGCAAATTCAACGGCTTAGCCTCACCCCTACGTTTTTCATTTTTTGTAATTTGTAAATATAACATATACAAAAAAAAAAATCCCCCGGGGGGGTATTTGATCGTTTATACAACGCGTTTCTTACTTCTTTCCTTTGCTAATCGTCAATTCTTAACATTCATGGTTATATATATATATATATATAAACTTGAAGACGAGACGAGACCAATTCTCTAAACAATTCCGACACCGATCAAAGATTAAATCATGCACATGTATATAAAGTATGAACTAATTAAATCGGACCGGCAAACTGCTAATGATTCATTATAGTTTGTTTGTTTGTTTGGTCGAGTATGACCGTTGAATAACCGTATTTCTCCGCAGAGAGAATACATGTCTGACTCGGAAGAACTTGTTCAAGACAACCAACCATCTTCGCCTACATTAACTAATTTAGTTTCTACCACACCCACTATCTATCATTGTCAAAAATTCTGTTTTGATTCAGATGAAGAATTAGTGACAGAAGCGCAACGAATTCTACGCGCTCGTTCTTCCATTGCTGCTACAACTCAAGGTTCTAAGTATAACCTCTGCTCTTGTGTTGACAAAGTCTACTTTGATCCTACCGACTTCACACTAGTCGGAAAAACTCGCAAAGGCAAAGATAGATTTTAGATTTCTACTGCTTTTGGTTATAATTTTTAAATATCTATGACTGTTTAGTATAACTCTCCAGTTTCATTTGGATCTGTTATTATGATCTTTATTATTTGTACTTAGGGATGATGCGTCTTCTCTATTGTAAAACATTTATATTTATACGATTTACCGTTAACAAAAAAAAATAACCGTTATATAACTATGTACCTAATGAGTAGAGCAAGCATATCTATATATAACCCCAAGAACAAAATACAAAGCATTGTGGGATCAAATACAATGTTCAATAATACCGAGTGGAAAAAATAACAAGGCGTTATTAGATCGGGTCAAACGCGAGGAAATCGGGTCGTGGTCAAGATCCGATGTGGTCGCAACCTCCAAAACTTGGGGCTTTCCCTGGACCCACCCGACCTGTGGTTGAGTGCGTCGTACCATTTTCCCTTGCTATTTTTTCCATGTTAGTTATTGCATGAGTTCGTGGCGGTTGAAATCAAATAAATATGGTTACTCCACTTTTCGGTTGAAATGATCGTTTATAATAAATAATATCCAGGATCTAGATCTCACATAGAATATATATAAATATAGTTATCAATTGAGATATTTTGAAATGGGTTTGCAGGGATTTGGTTGTGTTTCTTTTACTAATCACAATTTGCCCCTTAAGATCGTGGGTTATGAAGAAATGGAAGTAGAATTATATTTTTAAGAGAAGTTTTTTTTTATAAATAATCGTATATTATAAATCGAGACTCATAACTAATCTCGGAACTATGAAAAAGCCATGTGCGATCTGTCGATGTTCCTATGATAACAAACATGTCATATGTAACTAATATGATTTTAATTACCATATCAATCACGTTCTATTATAGATTCAAAGAATTATAACTTTGAAATAAAATTGAGCATAACCATCTATGTTCCAGATTTGCTGCTTATGTTGACCTTACGTTATTATATGGATGAAGAATGGGCCATCTCAATAATACCGAGCAATGTATCGTCTCCGTCAAAGATAACGACAAAGACGGAAGACCGACGGCATAGTTGACTGGTATGGCTGCCACGTCATTCAGACTCCTTCCCATTGGTCCCATGCTGTGTGTGTCAGCACATCCCGACACAAGGAAGTAACCCAAACAGATTTCGATTTACTAACGAAATTACGCTTTTGCCCTCAGTGACCGATTCAAAGTCAAAGCAACGCTCTTAATCTCTTCTCTGATTTGGATGTTAATCTGCATGCATAAACTTCAAATCAGAACCTATCAACAACATTTAGGTTGTTATTTCTTAAAATCATGTCTCCGTTAATTACATTATAACTGTTTACTATTATTCTTAGTAACTTATAACATTTTATGTATATATATATGGTTATTATAAGTAGAATTCTGTCTCGGAAATTAAAAAGATTATTTCGTTTGATGGAGGAAACGTTACACATCCAATGAATTATTCATCTCTTGTAGCAAAATTGACCAATAAAATATTTCATATTGCCTACATCAGAGTTTGCACTTGATTTTGATTATCGTCTATGGAATTATTTTTTTTTATCATCGCAGCGGTTGAAATCTTTTTATTTCTAATAAATAAACACGTATTTACAACTTGGCCATGTAATATCCCTTAAAAAAGGAAAGAAAACAGTCTCTCGTGCATCCATACATGTATATCGATCGGACCCTTTAACAAATACATTAATCAATATGCAAGGGGGGTCCAAAAGGAGAAATGGCAACTCCGTAAATAAATAAAATAAATGGTTTAATTATTAAAGAAAGGGGCAAGTTGTGAGTTGAAAATTAAAAATATCCGGAAACAGGTTTATTATAAACAGACAGCGAACTTGCCGAAGTATTCAATTGGACAGATGCGAAAGGATTTTGTAATCATCGGTTGACTTTTCCCCTTATAATCTTGCGCGTACAGTTGAAACCTTTTATAATATTATATATTTTTTTTATATATGCATAATTTGCGTTCCTTCACACACATCTTCCTTTCACATTCATAAACCAATATATATATGTGTATAATATAATATATATATACATATCCCATATCTTATCTCAAGCTTGCAACCAGCAAGAACACCCCCCCCCCCCCGGGCTCTGTTTTCTTCTCAACTTGGCCAAGGAAAATCTTCTTCAAGGATCAAGAAACCCAACACAAAGTATATATATATGTTTGTATTAATATTCCGTATATATATATATATCAATAACGCATATATGTTTTTTAATTTAATGTTTTTGTTTTTTGATATATGTATTGGACTGTTTTTTTTTTATTTTTCAGACGAGCATCAACACAACTCAAGGAGGAGAGAAATTCAAGACAAGAAAATCTCGACAGCAAATGGAACAGTTGGGATCCTGTCTGCTCTAAATATTTCTCAGTACATAAATTGACCTTAAACATCCGAAAAAACTTAGCCGAATCCATGGATTTTCGATAATTAAATCGTTACGAGCTTGATTGAAATTCTTCAACAAAAAAAAAAGTTTGATTGAAATTAAATGGAGACCCTTTTCTAATTCTGTTTTTTGGCTTATTGGGTTGGCAGATTCAAAGGGCCAGGCCATTCCTCCATTGCAACCGGTCGATCCAGTTTCCCCAAGGACTTCCTTTGGGGTACCGCCTCTTCGTCCTACCAGGTAAAACTCGTTGGAGTCTACGGGAGAGATGTAGTTGGGTCGAAGGTCGATGAATTTCCGGATTATTAAGAAAACGGATTGTCTCAGATCGAAAACGATGCGATTATGTTGTGTTTTTACTCTGTGTATTCAGTATGAAGGAGCGGTCAACGAGGACAAGAGGGGAGCCAGCATGTGGGATCACTTCTCCAACAGGTTTCCTTACAGAACCGCCAACAGTGATGGCAAAGAAGCCGTCGACTTCTACCATCGCTACAAGGTAGGCGTTCTTGGTCGGGTTTTTTTTCCGATCTTGTAGTTCTTCTCTTGGACGGACCAGATAGAGATGTATATATAAACATAAAGATTTTGTAATTTATATATATGCAGGAAGATATCAAAAGGATGAAAGAGATAAACATGGATTCGTTTAGGCTCTCCATCGCTTGGCCCCGAGTCATTCCCTGTAAGCGTTTTTCTCGTTCTATATATCCGTTACGAACATTTCCCCCTCTCGAAACCCCGTAAGAGAATTCGAGCCCTTAATCTTTTACGTTCTTGCTTTCGGCTGGAAACTCACAGACGGAAAAATCGAGAGAGGAGTCAGCGAAGAAGGGATCAAGTTCTACAATGATGTTATCGACGAACTCTTGGCAAACGGTAAACGTTCATTATCCTATTTCTTCCGAGAAACGAACGAGGATTTATTCGCGAAATCTCTAGAAAAACTCACCGGGAAATTAAAAACTTGTATCAGAGATCACACCTCTTGTCACTCTCTTCCACTGGGACATCCCTCAGGACCTTGAAGATGAATATGGCGGCTTCCTAAGCGAGCAGATTCTGTAAGTGTTTTTCCTCTCCTTGTAGCCTTTTACCGAGACTTTCCGTTGAAGGGTTTGATCTTATGTATGTGAATGTGTATATGCCACGGACAGGGACGATTTCCGCGACTATGCGATCCTTTGCTTTGAGAGATTCGGAGATAGGGTCAAGTACTGGTGCACGTTGAACGAGCCATGGGTTTACAGTATAGCGGGATATGATACCGGGAGGAAAGCACCGGGACGGTGCTCTAAGTACGTGAATCCAGCGAGTCTGGTCGGAAGGTCGGGCTATGAGGCTTATATAGTGAGCCATAACTTGCTCCTTGCCCACGCCGAAGCAGTGGAGGTTTTCAGGAAGGCGCCTAATGTACGTAAGCCGGTGAATTCATCATTTATCAACGATCGATAACCCGTTTTGCGAAAACGCTGACAAAAGACTATGTTTCTCTGTCGATATAACTCCAGCAGTGCAAAGGGGGAATGATCGGGATCGCGCATAATCCGCTTTGGTACGAACCTTTCGACCCAAGCAATCCAGACGACGTCGAGGGCTGTGTCAGAGCCATGGATTTCATGTTTGGCTGGTGGGTTTTCTCGCTTTCGTATTCAGGATTCGTGATTTCGGTATGAATCTTGGATGTAATTCGCGGTCTTTTGTTTTGTTTTGTCAACAGGCATCAGCATCCGACAGCATACGGAGACTATCCAGAAAGCATGAAGAGGTTGGTCGGGGACAGGCTGCCGTCATTCACACCAAAGCAGTCGGAGAAGCTGAAGGGATCTTGCGATTATGTCGGGATAAACTATTACAGCTCCCTCTACGCCAAAAGCATCAAAGACGAAGACATCGACCCAACGCAACCCACTTGGAGAACCGATCAACACGTCGATTGGATGAGTATGTTCCGTTACCGAGAATTATGGAGAGTTAGAGTTATCTGTTATCCGATGATTCGTTTTGTTCGGTTTCTAATGCGTTACATCTGCTCTTCTTGTTTCTTGTTTTACAGAAACTAACGTAGATGGCAAAGTCATCGCCAAACAGGTACATATACAAAGCCGATATACAGGCATTACACAACATCTGTGTATATGTATGTGAATGTTGTAACATAACCAGGACATGTTTACGTTATGACAGGGAGGATCAGAGTGGAGTTTCACTTACCCGTTGGGTCTGAGGAACGTGCTGAAGTATATTAAAGAGGCATACGATAATCCAAAGATCATCATCACTGAGAATGGTACGTAACGTAATCCACGTTTTTTCGATCCAATCGAAAATTCTCTCTCGTCACTATATTACACAGGAAATAACGAAATTCTGTAACATTTTTTTATATATTCAGGGTACGGTGAATCAGCGGATCAGGCTACATCTTTGTACAACCCTTCTATCGATATGGATAGGTTAGAATACATCGAGGGGCATATACACGCCATGCATCAATCCATATAGTAAGCAAAACACAAAATCTCTCGAAAAACGTTTTTTTTCCTATGAATCCCGGAAATATTTTCAGGGTTTTTGACATATTTTCGTTGCGTTGTCGTTACAGCGAAGATGGAGTTCAGTTAATAGGATACTACATATGGTCATTGCTCGACAACTTCGAGTGGAACAGCGGATACGGTGTGAGATACGGTCTGTACTACATAGATTACAAAGACGGACTGAAGAGGTACCCGAAAATGTCGGCTCTGTGGCTGAGGGAGTTCCTGAAGATTAACAGAGACGAGGAGGAGACGGGGAAGAAAGACAAGAAAGAGAGCTTGGCCCATCAGATCATGCATTCCATCAAAGACAATCAGATCGTTCATTCTCTCACGGACAAGGGAACGCTGCCCGCCGTTTTGGGAAGCCTCTTTGTCGTGTCCGCAACCGTTGGCACCACTCTCTTCTTCAAGGGCTCCAACCATTAAAAACAAAATAATTCAAGTATTTATTTATAATTTTTTGTTGTTTTTTTTTATTATTGAAATGTTGATGTATGCATACGTTTGTGTGCTGAGACCACCACGGCAGTGTTATTGGAACCTTTTTTTTTATTTTATTTTGGTGCGTGTGCAATGATTCGTTTAATCTTATTTACGTTTTGGATGTTTATAACCATGATTGATGGAAATTAGATCAGTATATCATGGTTATGAAATTACTCTTATCTATTGATTTGGATTTTTGTTAAGCAACAGCAACAACATTAAAAAAAAAAAAAGTGGTGGGAATTTAAAAAAAAAAAAAGTGGGTCGGATCATAAAATCAAGATGGGCTTTTTAGATTAGGCCCAAAGTCTAATGGGAATAAAAAAACGTTGTGGGTCGGATCACAAAATCAATATGGGCTTATATAGGCCCATATTCAGCGGAAATGGGCTTAGCTAAGTCCCGAAATCAATTGGAACGATTGCGAGTAAATTGTCCATTCTTTACTTCTTTGTTCTTCACATTCCGTTAATACTGAAATTGAAAATCTTTTGGAACTTCTTCACTACAATTTCAAATTTCAGGGTATCCGACAGCAGTTCAATACAAGAAACATTGGATATTGCGACGGCTGTTACAACGGAGAATTATGTCACAATTTTTGACTGATTTTACGACTATTTGCGATTTAAACCTATTTTCCTTATACGCGTGTTTTCTTATAGAAGTTGGACCGGTTTGATTTCTAGATTTTTTTTTTTTGCCGATTTCGAATCCGTCGATGACGGGTACTCTCCTATATTTCAATATCCACCAAATGTACATGAGCGAAAACCCTAAAGTCTTAATTAATCACTGATAATTTATTTATTTCCAATAAGTTTAGAGGTAATATTGCAATTGATTAAGGTTGATATCCAAAATCCTAAAGTTGGGAAATTTTGGCCAACCTACCAAATGGATTGAATTAAATTTGTATTTTACCTTTCTCCTATGAGGCCGACGCCTATGGATACTAACACTCCACTCGTACTTTTCTAAAATTTGGAATTTCCAAACCCAAAGAAGAAGAGGGAACCGTAATATCTATCCGAAGAAAAGTTGGGAGAGAGAGTTATAACTTAGAAATTTAGAATGGTGAAAAATCAGCATCCTCATTTAACACATACGGCCAAAAATATCTTCTCACAATGACACATTCAACACTAGTACCAGTACCAGTACTACTACCAATCATATTCATAATAACAATAATTATTATCATAATTAAATAATAATAATAATAATATATATCAGTGTTATATGTTTTCCCGTTCGAACCAAATATTCATTTCCATCTCTGAATCCGAAATGTTAACGCAAGTTATTTTATTTTTATTTTTATTTTTTTGGTAACGTTAGGGAATCCAACCACAATCCTTCGGGTGTAGCGGTTAACCCCAACTCTACGCAATAGTATACAGTGTTGGGAAAACGAATATGTGATTGGAATAAAATAAGATTTGAGATATGATGGAGAATAATAATGGATACAATATCATTATGCCAAATATTATACATCTGATTTATTTCTATTGTATCTATATTTCTTTTTTAATCCGTTTCTTAATTTTTCTATAAATATGTATTTCATTTTCATTATAATGTAACCAGAAGAAGAAGAGATGTAGTAATAAAAGTAATTTTGTTTCTTTCTATTTGTCTTATTTTATTTCCGTATTTTATTTTTCTACATGGTATCAGAGAAGCGTTGTCATCTGGAGTATATGTTTCTTTTTTTAAAATTTTCTAATTTCTTCTTTCTTTTGCGTTTTGAATGTTCATATATAATTAAATCGTTCAAACGAGAGTAAAAATCCAAATTCAAACGATGTGTTATGATAAACAAAAGTCAAAGCTAAAAACTCTAAGATCAAGCAAGATGTTATGACAAAAAGAGTTAAAACTAGAACTTTAAAGTCAAACGAAGTGATTTGAAAATGGTTAATGCTCTCTAAAAGAACAAAATTTGGTGTTTATGAATTTTTCCAGAGACAATGAAAATGTTTGGACGGTTTATAGCATTATCAATTCAAGATTAACTTTTTCATTCTTTCAAAGTCAATCTTGAGGGGAATGTTAAAATGGAAAAACGAATATGTGATGGGAGTAAAATAAGATTTGAGGTATGATGGAGAATAATAATGGATACAATATCAATATGTCAAATGTTATGTATCTAATTTATTTCCATTGTATCTATATTTCCTTTTTACTCCGTTTTTTAATTTTCCTATAAATATGTATTTCATTTTCCTTGTAATGTAACGAGAATAAGAAGAAGAGATGTAGCAATAAAAGTCATTTTGTTCCTTTCTATTTGTTTTATTTTATTTTCATATTTTATTTTTCTACATACAGACCACGTGAAACAGGTAAAACATCTAAAAGATGAGAGGTTCGCAGGGAAGTGGTGTTGAACCCGTGATCCCTTGGAGAATTTTGGACTCTCAAACCAACTCACCTCGTCCCGAAAGGGCATTAACGCAAGTTATTGTTTCATTATTCGAAATTTATAGTAATACTAAATCGATGGGAAGTATGATCTTTTGAATAGCAGCATATAGGTCTATTTCGACTTGGAAATATTCTATAAATAGTATATATATATATATATATGTGTGTGTGTGTGTGTGTGTAGAGTTTCTTCTGAACTCACAGCCACTAGACACACAGTCCGGGTGATACCCATATGCGGCACCGGTCAACACATTCACACTGTACACATACTTTTCTTTGTTTATTATTTATATATAGATATTATAAGACCACACAAAAAATTAAAAAACGCATATAAACATTGAAAGAATATGCCTATTAAAATAATAAATTTAGGTAAAGACGTAAAATTCCGAGTTGCTTCCACGACCTAATAAGAAACACAAAAAAAAAAAAAGAATTACTACATGTTGATTTAATTGGTTGGCGGTCCAAATCGGTTGCATCCGAATGGTAGGTAAAGTCCTTTCGAAATAATACTTGTGTACTCTTAAGACACATATAAAATGTGAAAATATTCATCTCTACATTTAATTAATATTTTCAAAATTAAACAAACTTTACCCATGTTATAGGAACAAAAAAAACATACAAATAAAACAATTGTTCTATTTACTATATATTTACCACTTTAAAAATAAGGGTTCAGTCGCATCATATGTTTCGACATGCAAATCGATATGGGCTGTTATCATTGTGGGGAAAAAAAATACTATTTACATAATATAATAAATCCAAAATCATTTAAGTAATTACTAAACAAAGAATATTAAAAATAAATCCAAACTCATTTTTTGTTAATTATGTCGCCTTTCCGGACTTCAAATAAATCGGGCTTCGGACAGAAAATTCGAATTAAAACTGGAAAAGCATGAGATTGTAATGTTTGATTATATATATATATATATGTTATCATGTTTTTGCCTCTTCCTTTCACCCACGTCGTCACGTGTCTACCTACCTTAAACAGGCATGCATGCACATGCATGGTTATATGCTAAAGACGGATACGGAGCAAGTGCCGACAAAGACTGAGCCAGATGATCTAAAAAGACTTTGAAGACAGTTAATATAATACGCAATTTTTTTTGTTATTCAATTTTGACCAAAATTTCTTTAGTGGATTTTAAAATAATCGAGGAATGACTATAAATTAAATATTCTTATTTCGGAGAGATGCTCTTAATTTGAATCCACAAATTAAATAAAAAGAAAGAACAAAATGACTTTATTACTACATCTCTTCTTCTTATTATTACATTACAATAAAAATAATTAACATATTTATAGAAAAAATAACAAAAAAAAAGTAAAAAGAAAATATAGATACAATGAAAACAAATCAAATATTTAATATTTGACATAATAATATTGTGTCCATTATTATTTCCAATCATATATTAGAATCAATATTTTATTTCAATCACATATTCATTTTTCTATTTCAACATTTCCAAAATACATTTTCATTATATTGTAATTAAATGCCAATGTACATTATATTGAAGTCAAATGACATTAATTGTAATTGTTTAAGGCTAAGATAAAAGTTGCGCACCAGGACTCGAATTTCACCTGAAAGACACCTAATAACGTGTATTACCATGTAATTCTTAATTAAGCATTGTATCTTTATACTGATAAACCTCATTTGGTCAAATATTTTGTAAAAAAAAAAATTATAACAAATACGTTGGAAGGAATCGTCACATTAGTTCGCGAGCGAGACGTAATCAATTAATTTTGATATCTTACAATTCAATCGATTATCCAAATAGAAAGTCAAGTCATCACCAAATATTTCCCTTTGTTGAATTCGTCATGTCCATAAATCTATTAACTATATTAATTTTTACAGCATCACGTACGAAGAAAAAATGGTGTATAGCTGTTCATACAATATATATATATATATATATATATATATATATATATATATATATATATATTAAAGACAAGGCTATTGTTCATTCCTGACTTTTCGCGGGCGTAGAGATACCGTCGTCTTTTGGGAACATATTTTGGGTGGCAGAACTGGAAAAAATTGTTTGAATTCTTGGAACCATTTATTTTATATTATTTCTTCAACCGGTCCAAAAACACTCCGCATATATGATTTTAATAGTGGATACACCCATACCTTTTACGATAAACCCCGTCAAAAAGAACATCATTTTAATTAACGTTGCAAACTGTATGCTAATTAAATAGCATATTTGATTTACTAATTATATGGTTTTCTGATTTTTACTAACTATTTTTAACCTTTTTCTTTTGTCGGCAGTGATTTGTAAAACGAGTAATTAATAAGGGGATATATGAGTTCATACCAAAACCCATCAGTTAAATTTAACTCATACAACTACAAACCACAGCTAAGTACAGTAAATGCCCATAACGTTATCTGGATGTATATGATAAACATATTATTAAGGGGAGAATAATCGCTGCAACTCAAAAGAATGTTGTCCGAAACGATAAAATTTTGGACCGAACAAAATGACAAAAGAGAATATGGGTGCAACGTTACACTGACAGCGTAGTCTCCACAACAGTGTAACGTTCAACAATGTCGATCGCAAGGACGAAACTGCATGCCAAGTGTCTAAAGAGGAGGTTTAAAATAAATAAATGATAATAATAATAATAATAATAATAATAATAATAATAATATATAATATAGTAATACACATGCATGTGCACTCACCAAATTCTCACAGGAAGACTGAATATATATAGCAGTCAAAACATCTTAATAAATGTGCATACGCAAGAGGTTTGACTTGAAATTCACAATTTTTGGTCGTTCTTTTTACCATACATCATATTATTATTTTTTTTTTTCCAATGCTTCCTCCGGGTCCCCGAGTCTATATATAGCGTGCATACGTTCATGGTTTCTCTCAGGACGAAGATCATAAGCTCTCACGTCTAAAATTACACTTCTTTGTAATTTCTTTTTGTTTTACCAAGGAAAAAAAAACAAGAAATACGTTTTTTGTTCTGATTTTCTCCAAGACAAGAGCTTAGGCAACAGATCGATCGTTCCTGAGAAAATGACACCGTTAGTGAAACCCTATTCTTCTTGTGTGTGTGTGTGTATATATTAATACATATGAATATAGAGTGCGTGTATATATGTATAAGCATTCAGATTAATTATTACAAAGTTTTGTAATCTTTAATTTATTTTACAGAGCGAAGAGAATGCGTGTTGCGGCTAAGAAATCGTTCAGCAGAGCATCCTTCCCCAAGGATTTTCTGTTTGGCACTGCTTCGTCAGCTTTCCAGGTGCATACCTCTACTTATATAAAACAATCTTAACTTTTACGTAAAACAAAATACGTAGAAACGCATGCACGTATACGAAAAATGAATGACGCATGAATAAATGAATATAAGAGACACATGCAAAATAACTCATGCAGCCCTATATATGCGTGTGGTTTCAGTATGAAGGAGCCGTGAACGAAGGCTCTCGTGGAGAAAGCATTTGGGATAACTTTGTCCGCGAATTTCCAGGTTTTTTTTTTTATTATATATTTTGTCATCCTCTCGCTTTTTGAGATTCCATGCATAACCTCAAGTATCAATTTTTCATGAAAATTAAATCTCTAAATTTCGCAGAAAGAAATTGTTACAGCAATGCTGACGAGGCGGTTGATTTCTATCATCGTTACAAGGTACATATACGTACTTAGAACACATAACTAGAATCATTATTGGGTTTTTTTGATATTCACACACACACACATATATATATATATCTAACTATTTTAAACGTTCTGAAAATTTTTTCAGGAAGATATCCAGAGAATGAAGGATATAAACATGAATGCTTTCAGGTTCTCGATTTCATGGGTTCGGATATTACCAGGTAAATTCAAAATTTCACCCTCTTTGTTTTATTTTTGTGATCACAGTTCAAATTTTTATTTATTAAAAACGGTGGACTCAGTTCTACGATTTTCTGATATTGTATAAAAATAGATGGGAAAAGAAGCAAAGGAGTGAACAAGGAGGGGATCAAGTTCTACAACGACCTTATCAACGAACTCCTTGCCAATGGTATGCAATAAAACCATGTTTTCCGTTTATATAATATCAAAAGATTTACATAATTTTTTTTTTAAAAAAAAACCCATGGATTTCATGTAATAACACGTGATCTAATTGTGTCGCAAATGAGCAGGGATCACTCCTCTCGCCACCTTGTTCCACTGGGATATCCCTCAAGCCCTAGAAGAAGAATACGGCGGGTTTTTGAGTGATAAAGTTGTGTAAGTATCACCTTTTTTTTCAAATATGCCCTACCAAATCCAACTATATTACGTTACATTTCAGCTAATATGAACCGAATGATCGTGATTTAGGGATGACTTCCGAGATTTCGCAAGCGTGTGCTTCGAGGAGTTTGGCGACAGAGTGAAGTTATGGGTCACAATCAACGAGCCATGGGTTTATAGTAACGGTGGCTACGACATGGGCCGGAAAGCACCAGGACGTGCGTCCAAGTACATTAACAACGCATGCGAGGCCGGAAGTTCCGGCCGAGAAGTTTATGTCGTCAGTCACAATCTGCTTCTTGCCCATGCCGAAGCGGTCGAAGCCTTCAGGAGTTGCCAAAACGTATGAATAACATTGAATTCCACGTCGTTTTCTTTTACAATGAAAAGGAAAAAAACGATTGGAGAAAAGTATAGCGTGATCACGTGGACCCGTATAAGTGGCTATATATATATATATATATGTATATGTGACTCTTGAATTTCACTATGAATTTAGTTATTGTCTTTCTTTTGGGAGAAATATTGAAATTGACGGCGATGGTGAATATTTGTTTATTGCAGTGTAAAGATGGGAAGATTGGAATTGCCCATTGTCCATTGTGGTACGAACCCTATGATACAAACTGTCCTAAGGATGTCGAAGCGGCCGAACGAGCCATGGAGTTCATGCTTGGATGGTGAGCCGATTTTTACATATATTCTTGAAATCATACGAAATATATACAAACAAATGTTATTGTTGCGCTTTAATTTCGGAATGTTAGGTACGTATACCTATAATGTTTTTAATACGTGGAATATTTTTTTTCTGTCTCTAGGCATATGGACCCTACGGTGTACGGGGACTATCCCGAATGCATGAGGAGAATCCTCGGAGAAAGATTACCGTCTTTCACCGCAACTCAATCTCAGAAACTAAGAGGATCTTTCGATTTCATCGGAATAAATTATTACAGCGGCGTTTACGCAAAACACGTTGACCAGGTTGACCCCGAGAAACTTTCTTACAGATCGGATCAACACGTCGAATGGAGAAGTAAGTCAAGTCATTAGAGAGAGAGAGAGAGAGATTAATTTTTTTATATATAATTTTAATTACGAATTTCAGACACTTGGTGTTTGTACAGTTTAGTTTTCTTTAAACTGACGAACTTCTTCTTGCTGTTTTTGTTCCATCTTTCTCAGAGCACAATGTCGCGGGAAAAGCCATCGGTGTTCAGGTAAATTAGTTATTCATATGTAATAACGTCTTAACAAGTCGTATGCATGCATGCATGCATGCATATGTTCTTACAGATTCGTACTTATAATTTTACGTAGACTGATGTATTGTACAATTTTCTTCATCAGGGTGGCGCAGAATGGGTGATAAGCCATCCACAGGGACTGAGAAAAGTTCTTAAATACGCCAAGAACAAATACGGAGACCATAAGTTTATAATCACTGAAAACGGTAAAAATCAAAATCATCTAATTCGACATGAAACCTGAATTCTTAATTTACTAACCCCGATTAATCCTAAAAACATTTCTAATATTTTCATAAACTTGTTCAGGATACTGCGATCCATGCTGCGATAAAAAACCGAAGCTCTTCGACATGATGGACCTGCAAAGGACAGAGTACCACAAGAAGCATCTCTACTACCTTCAGCAAGCCATCAAGTAAGTACACACACTATTCACAATGAGATTAGTTTCTTGACGAGCAAGAGACGTAAATTTCGTTGTTAACGATATATATGAACGTATTTGCAGCGAGGACGGGTGCAAAGTGGAAGGGTACTTTGCTTGGTCGTTGCTCGATAACTTCGAATGGAACAACGGATACGAAGTCCGTTACGGGCTGTTCTACGTGGATTACAACAACGGTCTGAAGAGATACCCGAAAATGTCGGCAATGTGGTTCAGAGAATTTCTGAGGAAAAACGAAGGGATAGAAGACGAGGAGAAGAACGATAATAGTGTGGTCGAGGACAAGAGATTCTTGTCATCAACCGGCTCGGGTTTCTGTTTCACGGTGAAGATGTCCGAACCCTCGAAGGTCTTGGAGCTGTTCTTTTAATTATCTTTATAATTATAAGGTTATAAACAAAATAACCAATGTTTCATTTCTTCATACGTTTGTTCGCTGAATAAAAATAAATGTAACGACGAGAAATCTGTACTACGTATACTGTATTCGTCGTCGGTTCGACGTTGACGAAGAAAATACCATCTCATTTTCCATTTTCTCAATAAGCGAATCGAGGCATTCTACTTATAAATTGGGCCTTACTTGCAAGAATTTGGGCCTCGGGTATTATTAGAGCCTTGACAAATTCGCAATTAATCGATAATTTAGGTTTCAAATTTATATATATTCAAAATAATATGTAATATGTAACTCCAAGTTACGTAAATTTTCCATAGCAAGTAATGCGGATTCGAATGCGTGTGTTACTATATAATACGATAATCTTAGGGGTTATCTCTTTCATTGTATAGTGAGCGAGCTTCACGTTGAAGAGTAAAAAAACAATCATAATTATAATTTATAACAAACAGATCACATTTTAATTAGATATACAATCTAAAACTAAATCCGAAATATAAAATAAGAATCTCCCCGTAAGCGAAGGAAGTGTGGAAAATGTTAGTGTTGGTCCATGATTTTGTGAATAAAATGAATTAAAAAAAAACGAAGGTACGCATAAAAAAAAGGGCACATGGGAAGAGAGACAAAACTCACATGCCCTTTTCCATATATTGTTCCCTCACTCCAATACCTCCTCCACTTTTTTTTTGTTCCCCTTTGTTTTTTTCTCCTTCTCATCTTATCCCTTTGCCATTGATCATCAATATATTTTTTTTTGGTAATGAACATATATGTATGCACATGTATGTATGTATGTATGTATGTATGTATGTATGTATGTATGTATGTATGTATGTATGTATGTATGTATGTATGTATGTATGTATGTATGTATGTATGTATGTATGTATGTATGTATGTATGTATGTATGTATGTATGTATGTATGTATGTATGTATGTATGTATGTATGTATGTATGTATGTATGTATGTATGTATGTGTATGTGTGTATGTATGTATGTATGTATGTATGTGTGTGTGTGTGTATGTATGTATGTATGTATGTATGTGTGTGTGTATTTATGTATGTATGTATGTATGTATGTGTGTGTGTATTTATGTATGTATGTATGTATGTATGTGAGAGTTATACCCACTTAGCTTTTAATGCAACATCAAATCCATATGGGATTGATCGATGCATGTGAGTCTTCGTTTTTTGGAGGATCCTCCGCGATGTGACTGAGCACTAATTGCATGTTGCATGCACTTGTCGTGATATATGAGCCTATAATGATTAAGAATGTTGTTCCATATGATTGGCAGTTTGGTCCACGAAGTTCCATTTTACATATTAACTGCTAATGCCATCATAATAGGGAACAATGTGGGGGGGATTTTATTGCCCTTTGATAAGACTATTTGTACCATTAGGGTCTAATTAATTTATCATTCGGCCTCATGAAATAAATTAATGTTATCCCATCTGTATCATGTATTACTACTAGTGACCCATTTTTTTTCTTAAAATGTTTTTTTTTTGTATTTAGTGAGAATAATTCCGACTTTTTGTTTGAACGAATATTTTTTTTAAGGGAAAATCCCATATTCCCCCACGAATTTGCCAAATTGTACCAATTTCCTACATGAAATTTTAATTTCGCAAAAACCTACATGCAAATTCAAAATGTTCCAAATTCCCACACGAAATCGGTAAATTCGTTGCAATGTCCTACACATCACGAAACGACGTTAAACGTAACAAATTTCCGTTAGAATCTCAACTGACGTGGCCAGACACGTCGGAAATAATGTACACGTGTATATGCCACGTGTTAAATCTAAAAACCAGAAAATCTGTAAAAATTAAACCGGTTCGGTACATAATTAACCAATTAAATAATAAAAAAAACACACAAAGAAAAAAAAAACTTAAAATCCCTAACCCTAAATCGACCCCTCTCTCAATCGGACCCTCACTCTCACTCTCACTCACTAATTCCCCCAAATCCCTAACTCCACCGCGACTCCCCCGGCGAGGCCCTCTTCCGGCGCGATCCCCTCCGCCGGCGACGCCCTCTTCCGGTGCGATCCCCTCCCACGGCGAGGCCCTCTTCCGGCGCGACATCCTCCCCTGTGACTCCCCCGGCGCGATCCCCTCCCCCCGACATTCTTCCCTCTCCCTGTCCGACAATCTCTTCCCCGAGAGTTGTCTCGGCGAAACAACCCCCTGATAGCCCCCCACGCGGTAATCTCCTCCCCGCGATTGTACACCGATTGTCCTCCGCTCGAACGCTCTCATCTCCAGGTATCGATATTGCCTTACTGTTTTCTGTCTAAGTTTTTGTGTGATTCTGCGTTATGGGTTTGTGTTTAGGGATTGGCGATTTTTGGTGGAAGAAATTTGGATTTTGTGTTATTAATGATGTGTGTTTTGGTTTATAGTTTATCGGGTTTGGAATTTGTTGACTGAAGAAACTCTGAACCATCAGTGGACTGAGAAAATGAGGTAAGTTACCAATTTCGTTGTTGATTTGAGTGGTTCGATTTGATTAGTAGATAGTAATAATCATGTTAATTTTGTAGTTGGTGTAAAATCAACTTTTATATGGCTGGATTTATGCACGAAATAGATGGAAAATGCTGTTACTTGGATGGAATTGTGGAGAAAGGTGTTATGGTGGATATGGATGTTATGTCTTGGTTTTTTCTTGAAGATTTCGTGAAATCTCGTAAGATAAGTGGTGCAATCAGAGAAATGTGGTTTAAATTACCACATGAGAGTTTGGATGAGAAGAGACGTGTGTATGAAGGACATGGGGACAAAGCAATTCATCTTATGTGTGAAATGGCAGCGTTGTGTGGAGAGTTAGATGTATACGTAGACCACCATTTATCTCCTCCAACTCCAGTTAAGGCACCTACAGAAAGGAATGATGACGAGAGTGTAGGTGATTATGACAGTGCTGATGATGATGATTTTGAAGGCGACGATCATACTGCTGAGTATGATTATGATAATTCTTCTGATTATATGGATGAATTTCCTGAGTATGAAAGCAGTGATGATGATTTCGTTGAAGAGGTTCATGTTGTTGTTGAAGATGATGTTGTTGAGAATGAAGAGATGAATTCGAGTGAGGATTATGCAGACAGTGATGAATTTATTCCAACGACACCTGAAGGAACAGATGAAGAATGGGAAAATTTTGATAAACCTAGGACAAAGATTCCGACATCATTCCCACGTAGTGAGATCTTGTATCTTGGTAGGACTTTCAATTCAGGGGAAGAATTTAAGAAGGCTCTGTTTGATTATGTGTTAGTTGAGAACTTCAATGTCAAGTTGTCGAGGTGGGACCGAACAAAATTAGCCGCAGTGTGTTGTAATGTGGGCTGTCCATGGAGGGTTTATTGTTCGGTTGAGGCCCCAATCAACAAATGGATGATCAAGGTCTACAAAGACGATCACAACCATACTCCGGAGAAATATGCAAATATGTTAACGATGAGGCAAATAGCCACAATGTACGCTGAGAAGATAAGGGCAGATCCAAGTTATACAGCCAAAAAGATGCAGGATGACACACAGCGGGATAAAAATTTGACTGTCTCATTGAGCAAGTGTTTTAAGGCTCGAAGTTTGGCCTTGAAAATTGTGCGTGAAGATCAAGAAGTTCAATTTCGAAAACTGTGGGACTATGAGTTAGAGCTGCAACGTTCAAACCCCAATACGAGTACTGAAATTGGAACAAAACCAACTCCGGGTCAAGAAGTGTTTCACAGATTCTATGTTTGCTTCGAAGTCCTACGTGATTCTTGGAAAAGACATTGTCGTCCGGTTATCGGATTAGATGGATGTTTCTTGAAGTGGGACTTTAAGGGAGAACTTCTATCTGCAGTTGGTAGAGATGCAAATGATGGTATTTACCCTATTGCATGGGCCGTTGTACGTATCGAGGATACCGACAATTGGACGTGGTTTGTGAGAAAATTGAGACTAGATTTAGATTTGGGCGAGGGACAAAATTTGACGATATTGTTCGACAAACAGAAGGTATGAATAACTCTTTAACTTGGTTTTATAAATATTAATTAACAATAACATATTAATTGTGTAACTTTGCACAGGGTTTGATGAATGCCATCGAATCAGAGTTACCTTTGGTTGAACATAGGATGTGTACAAGACATGTTTTTGCAAACTGGAAGAAACAATTCAAGGACCTCGAGCTTAAACTTCTTTTCTGGAAGGCGGCCAAGAGCTACCTTGAAAGTGAGTTTCATCAATATGTGCGTGATATCCGCGTGTATAACCCATTGGCTTATGATGGTTTTATGAGGGCAAAACCGAAGAAATGGTGTCGCGCATTTTTTAATCCTGAGACGAAATGTCATGACGTTAACAACAATTTATCAGAGAGCTTCAACGGGTCCATAAAAGAAGCACGTAGTCTTCCCATGATTGACATGCTTGAAGAAATTCGAAGGAGTATAATGCGGCGGATATCGCGACGTGCAACTCAAGCAGAAAGGTGCAAAACCGACTTCCCTCCAAGAATCTGGAAAGTTTTAGAGAAGTCGCGTGAGAAATCCCGTCATTGTAACATAATACGGAGTGGATACGGGAAATATGAGGTGGCTGAGTTTGGGATAAGTTATGCGGTTGATTTGTCTGCGAGAACGTGTGGCTGTCGGCGATGGCAATTGGGAGGTATACCTTGCCAACATTCCTTAGCCGTCATCAAAGTCAACCGAGAAGACGTTTCTAGGTAATTTTCTGTTCATTTATTTTTACATATACCTTGCATTATAGTTGATCATTAACAACTTATTTTTTCCATTTTTCAGATATATGTCGCATTACATTAAGAAATCCACATGGCAAGCAATATATCAGCGTAATATCCTACCCGTAAATGGTGAGCCGGCATGGATGAAATCAGGCAAACCTCCAATTGGTGTCCCCACGACAATACAAATGACATGACGCCCAAAGAAACACAAAAGAATTAAGGAGCCTCATGAGTCAGCCTCAAAGAGTGGTCACATGACTCGACATGGAAGAGTTTTCCGATGTAGAATTTGCAAACAACCTGGCCATAATGCAAAAACATGCAAGAATGAACCAAGGCCATCTGAGGTATGTTGTATTCTTCTGATTATATTAATCGATTACAGTATATTATCATTTTTTGTTTTTTATTGTAGCCAAGATCAGCCCATAGCCATGCACAAACGGGCATGAATGCACCATCGAGTAGCAATGCAGAAACGGACACAAATGCACCATCGAGTAGCAATGTACGATCGGGCGGGAATGCACCATCTGGTGCTTCCATACCCACTCAATCTAGCCAGACAATGCAATCCGGGCTTCCCCTCACTAGTAGACGTCGTCGTCTCCTCGGAATGGTACCAAGCAATATGGGGACTACAACAACTACTCAACAGCCATTTTCAGTACCTAGGCAAGCTGACATGTCTGGGTACGTTATTATTCATTTTTTTTGTTCTTTTGTTCAATCTTTTCTATCAACCTTTTTCTACGTTATTATCAAGAAATTCAAATTATATTTATACAGACATGTTCAATCTTTGTCTTCCAGATCAGGAAAACAAGTTCAAGGAGATTGAAGTTGAAGAATATGATCCTTCTTTTTTGTTGCTATTGATGTGATAATATGAGAAACTAAATGATCTTTTATTTTGGATGTAAGACAATATTTTGGATGTAAGACAATATGTTGTATGGCATTTATGAACTCATATGTATTGTAATGCCTTTTTGTTGGATATGAAATGTTTTATCCCGGATGATGATTTCGTGTGCGACATTATTTTTGCCATATTATGTTATAATTATATCTGTTTTACATTCATATTTATACACATAAACATCAAAAAATAATTTTTCTAACCAACCATATTATACACGAAATACAGAGTCCCAAAATATGAAATTTCTTGCCTAACGTAGTTCAAACCAGAAAATACATTTACCAACAAATCCCATAAGAAACTTCAAACAGACAAACCATAGTAGTACATGCAAACTGATATGAAAACAAACACTAACACCAACAATTTGGAGACTTGTAGTTCCAATACCAAATCCTTCTTCTCTGTTTCAATTGTTCCCATCTTGTCTTCCAATTCTTTCTTTTCTCTTTCAGTTTTTTCCATATTGGCTTCCAACTCTTGCTTTTCTCTTTCGGTTTGTTTCACCTGGGCTTCTAAATCTTGCTTCTCTCTTTCATTTCTTCTCACCTTGTCGTCGAACTCTTCCCTTTCTGCTTCCATTTCTTGCATCTTTTTAATGATCAACTCAATCTCAGCACCTTGTTTTTGTTGTTCACCATGTAAATCCTCGATTGCTTCAATAAAAGCATCATCCACCCATTTAAATAAGTGCGAAGGATTTCCCTATAAAACAACATCAAAAGAACAATGTTATGCACATCTGCCCAATGAAAACAAATTTTCTCAAAAACAATCTATACCTCATGATTTGCACAACGGAAAAAAACTCTTCCGGGGTTATTGTGAGTTTTGGAGGTCCATCTTGTAATAGCAGATCCACACTCGCATTGTGTAGGAACACCTCGTCGCGGCCTTGCTTCTCCTTTTTTCCAATTCGAACTTCCCGACTGAGAAGTTGCCTCAGATTTTGAACTCATCTACCAACACAATATAATACAATATAATACAACACCATCAACCCAATCAACACAATCAACCCAAAAACGACAATAGTCCATCAGAAAACACAATCTAACAAATCATTCAAACTACAAAACTAATCCATCAAACATGATCGAAAGGAACCGAAACTTGTAAACCATAATCCATCAACTACAAAACTAGATTCAAGCAAAACCAGGGAAGTAAACAGAAAAGCTAAGAGTGAAAGAACAAATCGATAACTGTCGATTTCACGAAAAAAATGTGATTACCGATGAAGAATGGGAAACTGAGGCGGGAAAAAGAGGGCGACGGTCGGAGGAGGAGAGTTTCGCGGTGGCCGAGGGTATCGCCGAAATGAGATCCGACGATGATTAATGGTGTCGTCGATGAGAGATGAGACACAGGGAACCGATGAAGAATCTCTTTGTCGGAGATGGAAGAAGCGCGGGGGAGGATGTCGCGCCGGAAGAGGGCGTCGCCGGCGGAGGGGATCGCGCCGGAAGAGGGCCTCGCCGGGGGAGTCGCGGTGGAGTTAGGGATTTGGGGGAATTAGTGAGTGAGAGTGAGAGTGAGGGTCCGATTGAGAGAGGGGTCGATTTAGGGTTAGGGATTTTAAGTTTTTTTTTTCTTTGTGTGTTTTTTTTATTATTTAATTGGTTAATTATGTACCAAACCGGTTTAATTTTTTACAGATTTTCTGGTTTTTAGATTTAACACGTGGCATATACACGTGTACATTATTTCTGACGTGTCTGGCCACGTCAGTTGAGATTCTAACGGAAATTTGTTACGTTTAACGTCGTTTCGTGATGTGTAGGACATTGCAACGAATTTATCGATTTCGTGTGGGAATGTGGAACATTTTGAATTTGCATGTAGGTTTTTGTGAAATTAAAATTTCATGTAGGAAATTGGTACAATTTGGCAAATTCGTGGGGGAATATGGGATTTTCTCTTTAATAATCCGAAAGTTTATCGGATTTTTGTTACGATTACATCTTTTACAAGGTCAGAAAAATAGGGATGAATACCCTTTTACCACGTTAAGGTTTGAACCTGAAATAATAGCATATTTTGGATGTTTTTTTTGTATCATTATAACCAATAAATTTGTTAAGAGATTTCTTAACTCCGAAAAAAGAGAGCAAAGTAATCTGTCCTCAATGATGACGGTCCCATGAAATTTCATTCTTTATTTTATTTGTTATTGGAACATGGACCGACGTCGCTTCATTAGAAAATTATTCGAGACTCTTACTTATCATAGGATTGGAATGAATTATGGATCTTGGTTTAGTGGGTTTAAACTTTTTATTTATTAGCTGCACGACTCACAACACGTAAGATAAAATTAAAAAAAAAATCCTTCTTTTTATATATATTTTTTTCTCTGAATATATCATGCCTCCTTGATTTCAAGTTTGATGTCTTTTTTTAAATTACTTTTATATGTTTAGTTTTAATTTTTACTCCTAGATGATATATATTTAATATGTAATATTAAATTGTGAGCTACTTATTTTTTGCTTATTTGAATAAGATTGAACATCTATAGAGATTCATTGTACAAGAAAATTATTATAAATTCTGATTTGATTCCTTTTTTTTTAACATTTACGATATATTTTGTATTTTCAATTTTCTTAGTTGTTGTGGTTTTAACAAAATAGTTTTTGGGGTGAAAAATAAATAAAACGAAAACGTAACGCAGAATCGCAATTTTCCACTCCATGAACTCGGGGAGTCTGGTCATGCATGACACGTTTCACGATTACTTGGACAAATTAAATACGCAATCACACTAGTGTTATATACGCAAGCTAGCTATGATTGCAATTGAAATCCACGGCTTTGGTATATGCTTTCTTACCATCTCCACTCATTAATTGCGCGCATATATATATATATATATACTAAATTTAATTGAAATCCCAAAAGTGTTATATCTATCTATATATATATATATTAATTTTTAGGGGTCGACGTTGAAAAACCGAACCGAATCGAAAAATGTGTTATTTTTTTTATCCGAACCGTACAAAATTTTCAAATGATATTAATTTTAGAAAAACCGAATTTTCCGTAATCGAATCGAACCGAAATTTAAAAAAACCCCGAAAAATCGTTTTTTTAATAAAAACTGAACCGAAACCAAACCGAATCGAATATAATATAATAACCGATTGGTTCATATTTTTATAAAATCAAAAGAATCGAACCGAACCGAACCATTTCTCATCCAAATCCGAACCGAATATCGAAACGTCCACTCGTATTAATTTCAATTGCACTAATTTACCCAATATGCAAGTTTCTTACCATCTCCACTCATTATGCAAACACTATATATATATATATATATATATATATCGGCCTTGCTTCTCCTTTTTTCCA